CATATTAGATTAATTGATATACTTTGTAATTGAGAAAACGAGATAAGGAATTCTGTATAGAATCGACCGTTAAAAGTTTTATTATTTCGAAACGAGGCGCATTTATATGCCCATTAATGGGATGAAGATTCAGTTTTTCCGTTTTAATTCAAATTTTACCCTTTGAATTATTTATTTAGTTGTACTTTTTATGAATCGAGGGATGGGATTTGCCGTTTTAGAAAGACTTTTTTCCTTTACTCTCTTAAATTTTGCTAGTAATATTCTATATACAGTAAGTCCTCACTTAATGTCATTGAGAAAATATACGAGTACATTTGTAATCACTTATTATCGTCAGTGGGAAATAAATGATAGAGGTTGCAAATACCATTTAATAATAATAATGTTAACCGAATTTGTTGAAATCCGTTTAATATCATTTGTCTTCGCTACACATTCAATTTTTTTCAAATAACGGGAATTTGTATCCGCATTAACAACGCGGGTACTCCAACGTTACACTGTACAGTAGGTGCAACAATAGGCAACTCGCGCCGCATCCTAGAACACCGACGTTTAATTTCCACACAAGAAAGTGCGACGCCCCTCGCGACGTGCCAATAAGTGCAGTTTTTTGATGGGACGAGACAACGATCTCCTTATCTCCACTTTTACCGAAGTGACCGACGAGACGGTACGTTTTTCGTCTACTCGACGTCGTGTATAACACTCTCAGCTTTGTAATTTATACAAACAAGTACTACAGTACATAAGATAATAGAAAGAATTCCGTATTCATTGCGTTTCGGGAGTCATCCGACTACAAAAGAAAGAAACAGAACTCGCTATAATATGTTAAAGAACAAAGTTTCACGTCTTGAAAACGTATCATTTGTTTTTAAATTGTTTCCGATTCTAACACTATATACAGGATGATTAGCATTAAACTTGCTTTATCCAGCGTCTTCTTCGGAGAGAACAACGTGCAAAACTTTGTTAAATTTGGTTCGCGTATGTTTCGGATTAGGGAAGAGTTTTACCCGGGAAAAACCAAAACTTCCAACAATCATCGCTAGGAGTGTTTTCGGCATCCGCGTCAGTTAAATGTACAAAAATTTATAATCAATCAAATTTAGCTTATTCGGGCGTAGACACGTTTAATTACTGACAATTTCAATAAAAATTGTAATGACTGACAATCGATGCGAAAGAAGCGATGCTGGAACGAAACACAATGTTCCTAAGCTAAAGATGTGTCTTCGGATCGTTACTATCAATCGGAGCAGGGGCCCCGTACATCGGGGTACGTATCTCACTTTGTCGTCGGGTTGCCCTTTACTTAATCCCAAGGGAGCTCTAAAGTTTCATTTTATTTTTAGTTACTCATTTTTACCACAACACGTTTTTGCCGATGACGAAATAAAAATAAAAATAGTCAAACCACGGGTTTCGAACAGTTCGGTTTACGAACAAACTTTTCAACTCTTTTTTTGTCCCGGTTGCCGAACAATATACTGGGCAGAGCCGGCCACCGTTGCACAGTGGGGCCAAATCCCAAAAAGCTGGCCAAAAGTCGAAAAATAGAGTTTAAGTTCCAGTAATTTCTAGTTGTGGGTTAGGTTGGATAAGAGTCCGAAGGTCGAATTCTAGATTTTAGCGCCCCCTATCCCTTATACCTGTTATTGTAGTTCAGTCGAAAGAGGACCCTCAATCGAGCTAGACGCGTCATGCAGTAAGCAAAGATTTCTACGCTATATTCAAGAGGGTGTCAAATCTCTAAAAACCAATCAAATTTAAATTTAAAAAATGGAATCTGCAGCTGCAAGTAAGTAGATTAATATTATGTAACACAAAATTGATAATAATACTTTATGTGATAACAGTAAACGAATGATTTGTACGAAAATGAACGGAATATTACAACAGAAAATTTTAAACACGTAGAGAAAAGTTCATAAATTCTGTAGAGTTCTGCGACTGGACCGATCGCGTGTTGTAGATGAAACTATTATTGAATGAAAAAAATTAAAACTAGCCGCAATTGTGTCATTGGCGCGAGTTCTCGCAATGTAAAACACAGTTTTCTGAATTTTGTACATTAAAGACGCGGAATGTTTTGCTCTTTTTCTCGAATTTGTCTGTGTGTTTTGAATGTTGTTAGCGTGTAGCATATAAGCTTGAAATCAAACTGTGGCAAGCGTATAGTGATAAAGAAATTAAACAAATAAGACCCTAAAAAACGAATATACAGAAGGGTTTCCGTATAGAATCGGGTCTAATAGTCGATCAACCAAAGCCTGGTTTCGGTAGCTCGAATAATGGGAATACTGCTCGACGATTTTTCGAAAACTCAAGCATTTCTGCTGCTATCACTGGGGTTGATGAGGACTCGATTAAGCGTTTCCGTGTCATATTGCAGAAAATTTTGTGTGGCCACGAAATCGACTTCATAGAATTTCAAGATTATGCCTTACAGACAGCTCGTTACTTTGCGCAGTTATATCCGTCATTCCGCGTACCAACTTCGGTACATAAGATATTGATTCGTGGTACAGAAGTGATAAATTCATCGGTATTGCCGATAGGGCAGATGTCCGAAGACGCTCAAGAGTCTAGTAATAAATACATTAAAAAGTTTCGAGAAGATTCTGCAAGAAAAATTCCCGAGTGAAAACAATGGAAGACATTATTTTACTCCTATTATTAATATCCGATCCGTTTATTTCGAGTTTGCGCGAATTACCTCGAAAAAACTCAAAGTCGTTGCTTCCGGAAGCAGTTTTATTGTTAGTTGCGCCACGTATATCAGCGAGTACGGGAAGCTCCAGCGATTTCAAAGTTGAATCATCTGATTGCGAATCAAATTATTCTTTGGATGACGATGCGTGAACTTTTAATCAACCGATTGTATGTTTTATCGTATTAAACAATATGTGGATTTATTTTGTACTTTTTCTATAAAAGTGGTTCGTGTTAAATCCGCCATTTTGTTTTTATTTCAAATTTTGACTTTGGATTCGTAATCAGAGATCCCGAAAACCCTCGAGTACTGACTTTCAAACCAAATTGATAACGCTTTTGACTTTTGGCCAGCTTTTTGGGATTTGGCCCCACTGTGCGTTGGTAAACTTCCTATACTTCCGCGTTAAAGAAAGTCGACGGGACTGCCGATTCAGAAGCTAGCGGCGCGGAGATCGCCCGGCGTCACCGGACGAATCATCGATGACGTTGCTATTTAAATTACAAATCAATGCGCACGCGTGAAAGATACTATTTTCCTTTATCGATACGCGCCGCCAATGAAATTTAAACCGCGCACGCCCCTTTGAGGCGGAGCGTTAGTGAAACTTATAGTTAGATAAGTGGGTTTTGAAAAGATTTTGCCGTTTTCCACTGAATTGCGACGAGCAATTCAGAAATGTAATAAAAATGGAGGTCCACGATTTTGTTTTCGAGATACGATGGGGTCAAAATGACAATGTCAACGCTCCCCCACGCGACCGAACGTGCCAAATGGAATTGAGGAACGAAATAAAAAAACAAAAACAGCACTGCGCGCGCCTAACGGAGAATGGACGCGAAAAACAAATAAAACACAAGAAAAAGCGATGGAAGCCGATTGATTTGTTCTCGGATGGCCTCTCCTTGGAGGCAAATGCGAGGATCGTCTGTCCGTGCCGGCTAATTTAAGGAATGCCTCTTTCTTTCCGGCTCGGTCTCATTTCTACGACAAAGTCGCGCCACGTCCCTACCTACATCGAATAATTGAAGCATTTATTTATTAATATTTCTTAAAGATCGTTATTGCCTATCGTGTATTTGCCGAAAAGTATAGATTTTATGAATCAAAACTAAAACAGAAATTATATTTTTACGTTTTATAGAAATTAAACTAGGACATGGCGCAACTTTTTTGTGTCGCGATAGAATTGAGGCGAAGCAGAAAAGAAACAGGCGATCCTCAAACTTGCCGGGCACATACAGGCAAGTTTTGCACTCGCCGCCACGGAATAGGCGTACGGAGTTTGCTGACAACGATTCTTGCACTTGCCGGCACGCAGAAGCCATCCAAGAACAAAGGAATCGACGTTCATTACTTTCTTCTTGTGTTTTCTTCGTTTTTCGCGTCCGTCTTTCGTTAGGCGCACGCAACGCTTTTTTAATTTGTTTTCGTCCACTAAATTCCGTTTGGCATTGGGCATTGTCGCTTCGACCCCATTGTATCTCGAAAACAAAGCCATGGATCCATACTTTATTACATTTTTGGATTCTTCGTCACAATTAATGGAAAATGGCAAAGTTTTATAAAAATAGACCGATCAAATTTTGAGAATTTTGCCGAGTGGCTCGACTAACGCTCATCTCGAGTTAATATAAAGCGGTAAAATTCTAAAGAAATTTGAACGTAGATTTCCAGAGCAACTAAACGTAACGCAGTTACGGGTGGATAATCGTTAAGATGCTTTACCGGGGGTGGCGTGTTTACAAAAACGTTTCGTCACTCTAGGATATCGACTCTCCGGTAACAGATTGACCGATATTTGTTTCTGAAGTGTCGAGTAGCGAATCGTACTGTTTACGTCACTGCTTTGTATGTAATTAATAAAATAATGTAATGTTTTGTACCCCGCGCCGTGTATTATTCCTTACTACAATTAAGGGATCGATCGAAGAGGCGCATTAAGTAATTTTAGGGGTGGGTATGTGTACGGAGTAAAAATAACGTTATACGACTAATTCTACTGTAGAATGCAAAGTATTTTTCTTCTATCGCTTCTATTAATTTTAGTTTATAAGAAAATATACGAGAAATTTTAATTACCCTGGCAACGTAAAATGTAACAATCACTAAATAAAGCAAATTTGCTGCCAAGTGTTTCGCTTTGTCATCGTCCAACCAGATAAAATTAATATTTAAAGTAAACAACGTTTAGAATTTAATTTTTCAGTAAAATTAAAATCTGTATTACTAGAAAAGTTTACCCGTCCCGAAATCATCGGGCAGAAAAATGCCTTACCTTTAGAGAAATTTTTTTTCTGCGGATAGTGAAAACGTTGTCTAAATTCCTTTAACGGATCTTCTTTATCCATATTCTCGGCAAATTGCCGACTGTAAACGTCGCATCTCCATTCTTCCGCCTTCTTTTCCAATACGTCTTTGGGCCACATCGTCCTTTTCAAATTCCTCTTCTCTTTGATTCTGTCTCTCGAAAAGTAATTTTAAAATGCATTCGTTAATTTAGTTCATAACTCATTCTTAAATTTTATTTCCACATTAATCACAAATTAGCAGTTTAATTGAGTGGTCACGCTTTACGGTTCCATTCCAGATTATTAGATTATTAATTAGTAAGCTTCAAATTATAACGATAATTTTATGTTAATTTATGAAATGTCTGACTTAAAATTACGATTTGTTCCTTTTAAAATGACAGAGAAGCGATAATAAATTGTGTGACTCGATACGGAGACGAGATTTCTTTATTTGAATTTATATCAGAGCTGGTGAAATATTACATGCTTATTTTTTTAAGTCTACTTTATGTCCGTTTGCAGTATATTTAATGAGCGTGTCAAATAGAACGAGTACGAGGAGGAAATAACCGGACACAAAAACAAGAAATCCATTTGTCTTAGCACTGTACATAAATAATTTTAATATATTGTAATTAACAGGGGTTGAGCGTATAGATGAGGTAACGGCCTCGAGTGCCACATTGCGTGAATACTAAAAAGGCTGGTAATGTTTCGGCCTACAGAACGTTTGGCTGTTTTTAGACTCGTATCGGTTGCCAAAATTATTCGAAGCGATCTCGCTAATTAATGAATTAGTAATAAATTGTGGAACGTAACATACCTCGTATCTGGTGAAAATCCTGCGAATCGTATACAATTACCTCATCTTTATTTTGTCATTTTGACGCGTCAAAAGTAGAATTTGTAACTTTTACTCATTATCTTCGGCTAGTTGGTGTTTACAATACTTTATGTACGCGTTATTAATAGTTTTTTCTATTTTGCCCTCTGAACTCGCGAATAACTTCCCACCAAAGCGCGAGTTACCGTTACAACGCGATGGCTTCCATTTACTTGGCCAAAAAATTAGGCAAAGTCGCTATTTTAAAGTAACGCCAAAACCGCTAAACGTCGATACACCCAAAATAACTGTTGTTGTATAAACAAAGGTTTTGTATTTAGAATAAATTATTATAAACAATTATTTTGTGAAGAAAAACGAGTGTTCCGGTTACTCGTAATAATTAAAATACAAGAAAATTCTGTGGAATAATATAAACTGCATTCCTTCTACGGAATATTGGTTATAGTCCTTAAAGGTATCTTATTAATGAATATTTTAAATTATCGCTGGAATAAGCTGTTTTTAATCAGATATTTCTTATTTTGTTATAAATAAAGCGGTTGTGTACGAGTATAAACGTACTCGCTACTTTTTCGCGTCTGGAGGGTAGAAAACGGTGTTTATTACAATTGCGGCGCCAATAAACTTGTAAATGTATTTATATTTTTCAGAGAAAATAACGCGCATACTTTGTTTTTCACCATTTGCCGCATTGGTATCTCCTTAATAACACTTTGTATTATTTAAATATTATTCTAAATTAGTTCTATGGCAAATTGTCTTACAGAATAATCTGTTGGCTAATCTCCCGGTTTTAATCCGGATTAATTAAACACGGTTTTTAGTAATAGGAATTAAGAAATTACTCACCTAAGCTGTGTCGGTGCTAGGAGAAAATTTAAATGACCCCGTTAGTCTGATGCGAAGGTCAGTCGCGTTGGACTCTGACGCCTCGGTATCAATCCAGATAAATTTTGGTAGCATTCCAAATGTTTACTAAAGCCTTAGAAGAATTTTGCCACGCACTAATCTCGATTGATTTATATGACGTCTTTCCTCGTTCCGCGTGCTGATTGAATTATTTTAAAATCTACAAAATTAACGAAACAAATGAGTAAATTTTTAGCTATAACAAACACTCGCCCGATGATGTATCTACGACTGAAAAAATCTAGCCATATAATTAGCGCAATTAAAAAAAACCTTTAGGGCCTTACGCTCTGCTCAGACGTCAACTTCGATGTACAAAAAAGTTGAACTTTTAATCGCACGCTTATCGGGACTCATTCCGCTAATCTATTACTAATAAGTCTCTTCAATTTTCGTATGCCGTAATTCAATAGTTATCTGATCCATTATTAATTTTTAGTTTTCATCAGCGAGTATTTCTATCGGGTGTGGAATCGAAGATCGAAGAGCGAAAAAACTAAGGGAACGCCTTAAGAAGCGGATGTCGAGACTTTTTCGTCTTTGTTTGAACAGCGGAAACAAAACCTTCAGAAAATTTGAAAAATTTAAAGAATATAACGCTTTTTTCGGCAAATAATACGCTTCGGTCAATAAAGGACATCACTTCAATTCGTCAAGTTACCAAGTTTTTAGACGCTTATGGAAACACAATTGCCGAGTAACTAAAATAAATTTAGTCGATCGGACTGGAGACAGTCACGGAAGCCTTCTACAGCCAAGTAAAGCGGTATACATACGCCTGGGAGTGTCAACTTTGCCAATACGCCATGTCCGCCCTAATTCTACAACATTCAAACGAGGACGTAGAATTTTCAGCAGCGCGAATCGTGTAAGGCCCGGGCTAAGAAATAAAATGAAATTGGAAACGCTTGGCGCTATTTTACCAGTTAAATTCGGTCTATCGAGGTTGGGAATATGCTGCCGCGCTTATCGGCTTCCGCCTAAGTTTTAAACGAAATAGGTACCGCGTAATGGCCTCGTATTCGAGAGTCGGGGATGGCCGAGAGGGACCTTGGCGTTCCGATAACGATGGAGGGGAGGAAAATGTATACTGCCTTTTTAAATACATAAATGTATATATTAAAATATAAAATTTCACGAAAATACGAAAAATTGTCTTCGTTTTTCTTTCCGTCCTTTTAAACGCACACCGGTAACATTTGAATTTTTTAATTAAACTTTAATCGTGTACGTACGTATGTACGAGTGTTTGTTCGTTACGCACTCCTAGACCATTTCACCAATGGCTCCGAAACTCCCAAAATATTGATTTAATTTTTATATATCGCTTATTTTTTGTTTATCCGGCTTCTATACCGTAACGCATTTCTAGCGTAAAATAAAAAATAATAAACAAAATATTGTCGCGTAGAAATGAAAGGGGAACAACAATAACGAGTCGTCGATAAACACGAAGGGGTGTTTATTATTCCGCGGAACGTACTAACTCCGCAGCACGCGGTAAAGAAAAACTGATTTTTAATCCGATAGTTGGCGATTTTATAGCGGGAGCGAACATTCTCGAAATATGTAAATGATAGTGAATTAACGTACGAGAACGTTCTCGAAACTTCGAGAAAGCGAACGTAACTAATTCACCATCGAGCAGGTTGGCGATTGGTAGGCGGCGACGATAACCATTATGCCACGGCGCTTAACTGTTAAAAAACGAAATGCGGCGATATAATTTAACAATATATATTCATTCAATTATGGCGGCAACGATATAGGGCGTAACAGACGCGCTGCATCGGCCACAGCCACGAGTAGCGCGTAGACGAGAGCCTCGGGTCGAAAGTATAAGTATAAAAGAAAACTTTTAACTTAAAAAGTCGATATATATTTTCTAGATATTTTTTAGATAAATAATTGAGAAATTTACATCCTAGATGTTAATCAAAGCATTTTTAGTTATAAAGTGCGAAATTAGTTTGGCAACACGAACGAGAGTACGAGTGCAATATGGCGGCGAATGCTCTGACGGTGCTCCGCGCTGCGGTCCGTAGACATCAGCGGCGGAGCGTAGTGGGGGCGGCAAAATTTCACAATAAATAATAATATCTTGTAAAAATTTGAACCATTTCATTTCATATTTATGTCGCACCTACGATTCGGACCGATTGAAACGAGCACGGAATTTTTCATTACTTATTCTGTGACGAAACTGAATTTTACTCTTTTAAATTGAGATACCTGAATAAAGGGCGGCTGACACCCACGTTACGCCACAGGTAGACGTTCCTTGTACGAATGTAGAATCGGGTTTATCTTCAACGACACTCTTTCACTTTGGCTGCGTCCCCAGTAATACAGTATCTCGTATTAAATAAGATTTTTAACCAACAACGATAGATTCGAATACAATTAAATAAACATAATCATCGATATAAGTTACTTTAACTAATTTAATGGACAAAATTAATGTTTCAGAAAATAAAATCGTGACCTTGGCGGAAGAACAAACTTGACTCGAGAATGAAATACGGGAGATTAAACACGAAAACCGTGTCCAATCGTTAAAAATGAATTTTATGTCTACGGATTTAATTTTGAAGTAACAAAAATAAAAAGACGCCTACTGTTTTCTAGAAATAAATGGACACTCTGGCTAATCCGGCCTTCCAATTGTTCCCTCTTACTCGTTTTTTAAATACGGTAAACTTTAAATTTAAATTTAATAAAAAGTTTGATTTATAATTATTATATCGTTGTACTTAATTTCGCGATAACAAAAACAGTGCGGCTCCAAAAAGAATCGCTACGAAAGACGACGGGCCGCCTTTAGGCAGGCTTTAAGCCTATTCGCCATCCAAAGTCGCTTCGCTCAAATGCCGCGCGGCGTTGTCATTTTCGGTGCTCGTGCCCGAGGGCTACTTTTCACCCCTTACCGCCGCGCACTCCCCATATTTACCATTTTATACACGAAAATAAACTCTCTATTCAACAAAATATCGCTTATAGTTTACGAGATAATAGCGCGACAAATCTTGCCATTTTTCGGTTGCTCGTGTTTTCGTAGAGACCCTTTATACCGGACCAAATTTAAGGACGTATTCGAGTAAAATAAAAGGTTCTTATTGCGAGAATACGAGAGCGCGGAGTCGGTACCCTAATTGTCGCTTACGCGTCGAGTTGGTAAAATTCGCCCGCTTTGTGTTTTGGACGGCTTTACGCGAGTGGCCAGGGGGTCGAGCGAATCGGCGGGTGTCCGTGTTTGGGGGTGACGGCGGACAGGTTTTTAACGGACAACAACGAGAATTTATTATATATCTAAATCTAAATTACGGGAGGTTATAGGAAGCTAAACGCGGTTAAATACTAACGAAGTTCTACACAAAAAGGTAGCTCTTAGTTAAGCCTATTCCCGTTAGCTGCGGAGAGAGAGTTCTCGGATCGCTATCAAAAATACATCCCTCTATGCGGGAAGGAACTGTACGCGACGATGGGTCCGTATGAAGAATCGTTGTTCTCGCCCGTTGTCTTCTCGGCGGGATCGGGACTGGGAGAATAAATGCGCACTATTTCGAGAAAAGCTTCCCTTCGATCGCCCCGGTAGCTCTCGCTTTTATTCGATCGTTTTGGGAAAGGCGCACGATCGTCCGTTGTTGACGATGACGGCGCGATTCTCGACAACAAAGTGTCAACTTTTCCACCGACCTCCGATCTGACTCTCCGTTTTTTCCGGGGACGTTTACATTTCGAAAACCCGATTATCATTAATTTTAAGATCCCCTTAAAAATCCGCGGGTTCGCATTACGAACTTGGACGAGAAACTTTCTTAGGAAGAAGTGTTTGGAGACGAATCGCTCGGAGAAGAATCATCGGGAAAGAATTACAGGGAATAATAGTCAAGAACGAATTATCCGGGGAAGAATTGACGGGAAAGCCGTTCCTTCCGGGTGTCACCCGTAGCGCTTAACTAAGATTTCGTACCGGGAGTGATTTAGGAGGACGATATAAAAGTACAGTGGAAATAAAGACAAATTAAATGTCCACTGCCCGTGGCTGCCGACAGATTTCCGCTATCTCGGCATCTTTCTTCTCGAACAAAATGCGATTCGTGAAGGGATTCATGTTCGCGGAACAAAAGGGATTCTTAACCCTTTTGTTCCGCCAACAGAATCCCTTTTCCAGTTAGATAAAGGTCGCAGACTCCTTCTGGAATAATGTTTATAAATGCGTAAGATAAAATTTTAAAAAGGAAAACTGTTATACACATTTATTAAAATAAAAAGCATACTACATGATATATTGTAACTATCGGACGAGCCCAGCGTTGCGCGGGAAAAAAGAACAGCAAAGATTAAGATTATTAAATCACTTCGTATTTCTAACCCTTTTACTATATTATATTATATTATTTTGATTTTATATTTACAAAGGTTATCGTACTAAAGAGTTTATCATGCCGATTTAACACGTTTAATTAAAAAGTTTTTTAAATTGTGTACAGTAGAGGGATAAAGAATTTTAAAAATGTGTTAGATTGATCATTCGATGCGATAATCCCTTAACTCTCTCCCCCGCGGGGGAACTTTCCAAAAATCCCTTCTTAGTGCGCGTTCTCGCGACGTACCCTAAAGCCTGGATTCACATTACCCGAAAACAGAAACTCAAAAACAGAACCAGTGGCGTAGCGTGGGTGTCAGCCGCCCGGGGCGGAGGAAATTTTCGTTCCCCCTTATTTAGGTATCTCAATTTAAAAAACTAAAATTCAGTTTCATCACAGAATAAGTAATGAAAAATTCGTGCTAGTGAAGCGAAGAATAGTGTGCAGTGCATGCCGGTTCTAAATCAGTTACAGTTAGCGACTACGGAGACTCGGGTAGGAGTAACGTAAGTGACCTAGCTCTATTCGATATTGGAGATGCATATATATATGCAAATAACTCGTACAAGCAAAAATAAAAATAAAAGGTCGACAGGTAGCGCATGGACGGTGAGTCGATTCTCAGACTGTCCGGATGGTAACACTATTCCGTGATCATTTCAATCGGTCTGAATCGTAGGTACGACGAAAATATGAAATAAAATGGTTCAAATTTTTACAAGATATTATTATTATTTATTATGAAATTTTGCCGCCCCCACTACGCTACGCCACTGAACAGAATTTAAACATATAGGGCCGATTGCAGAGACAGCGTTTACGTTAAACGACGTTTATCGACAGAACGGCCTATAGACGTTGGCTGGCCGAACCGCGGTTTAAAATGCGTCGCAAACACGACGACCGTCTATTTCTGAACGCCCTCTAAACGAACTTCGGCAAAACATTGGGCGCGTATACTTTAGCTCCCATCTCTCCCCTAGCGCGCTCAGCCTGTATACTTTTTGTTAGCTACCAACGAGCACGGCGTATACTTTTCGCACCCGCGACGTCGTTGCTAGCATTCCTAGCGCGCTCGGCGTGCCCGGAGAACTTACAACGAGCTTGGCGTTAGTTCAAAGATGGCGGCGTCCATGTACGATGTTACTGTTACTTTACCGGACGGAAAAAAAGTTAAACTACGGGTTAATGAAGACGTTTGTCGTCAGATGATGGAAGGTAAGTAAACAAAAAATTCCTAAAATAATTTTATATCATAAATCCTATTTCGATAACAGAGGCTTCATTACAAATGTAAAGTATGCCAGAGAATTGGCTTTGACTAGTATTTCCACTGCTTCAGTTGGACCGAGTATCTCTGCTGGTAAGTCAGATTTTGATTTCGAATGAAATCGTTGAAAGGATAGACCGATAAACTAAAAGATCACGATGTAATTAGCGCTGATTGTTAAAAAATTTTAGAATTTTCAATCTGTTATAATAAGGAATACACATACTATCTTTCATTATAGAGGAACCCTGTTGCTTCCAGTGGCCCAAAGCCAAGACCATTGAATTAATTTCGTTATACAACGAACATAGGAATAAATTTGAATTACCTCAGTGTACAAATATTCAGGTTGTAGTTTACTGCTTGCCAAATTAACATTGTACCTGTGAACC